ATAAACACAGGCAATCACCGTCCAATAAAAATCCCTCTGAGGAGAATAGCTCCGGCAAAGTGACAAGAGATGGAGAAGGTCATGGATGGCCTAATTAAGGAAGGGACGGTCGAGAAATCAGATAGTCCCTGATCAGCTCCCATCGTGTTTGTCTAGAAGAAGGATGGGACCCAACGTTGCTGTGTGGACTTTAGAGCTCTTAACAGTATAACCGAAAAAGACTCATATCCACTGCCAAGAATTGATGATACTCTTGATGCCCTAAGTGGAGCCAGGTGGTTTTCAACTCTGGACTTAAAGTCAGGTTTCCATCAAGTAAAAATGGCTGAAGCACATAAATCTAAGACTGCATTTAGTTATGGCCAAGGTCTCTGGCAATACCGTGTGATGCCATTCAGGCTTAGCAATGCTTCAGCAACATTTGAGAGGCTGATGGAAAGAGTACTGGAAGGCCTACAATGGAGGATAGCCCTAGTGTACCTGGATGATGTCATTGTATTTGCAACAACTTTTGTCCCGGCTAGAGGAAGTATTCAAGCGTTTGAAAGCAGCAAACCTCAAACTCCATCCCAAGAAATGCCACTTGTTCCAGAAAGAGGTCCTTTACTTAGGTCACATTGTAAGTGAGCATGGTGAAAGCAGTGCGTGATTGGCCAACACCAGACAATGTGGGAGAATAAAGAAGTTACTTAGGACTCTGTACCTATTACAGGAAGTTTGTGAAGGACTTTGCAACTATAGCTGCTCCACTACATGATTTGACGAAAAAAGGTCAAAAGTTCGAATGGACAGTTTCTTGCCAGCATGCTTTCAAGACATTGAGAGAAAAATTGGCCTCATCTCCACTTTTAATACTTCCAATTCCCTCACTGTCGTACATACTGGATTGTGATGCTAGTAATGTCGGAATTGGATGAGTGTTGTCTCAGAAAGTGGGCGAAAACGAACATGTGGTGGCGTACTTCAATAGGGTCCTGAGTAGACCAAAGATGAACTACTGTGTAACACGGAGGGAACTCCTTGCTATAGTAAAGAGTCTGACATATTTCCATCCTTACCTCTATGGTGCAAGGTTTACCATTAGGACAGACCATGTTGCATTACGCTGGTTAAGATCATTAAAGAACCCAGAGGGACAACTAGCACGTTGGATCAGAAAAATAGACCAGTATAATTATAATATTGAATATAGAGAAGGAAGATCCCATGGTAATGCTGATGGATTGAGCTGAAGAACCTGCAAAAATGACTGCAGACATTGCTGCAAAAGAGAGGTTGAGCTGACCAGGTGTCATCAATCTGAAGTCAAAGTGACTGAAGGAGTTGATGATGGTGAAATGGAACCAGGTATAGATATTAAAGCAGAGCAGGAGAAAGATCAAGATTTGAAGCTAATAATTGATTTTTTAAAAACAAATGTTTTGCGCCCTGCTTGGGAGAAGGTGTCTAGCTTAAGCCCTGTGAGAAAAAAACTATTGGGCACAATGGGACCAGTTGAAGCTTGAAGATGGTATTCTTGTCCAGAGATGAGAAACTGCAAATGGGAAAGTGACGACCTGGCAGTTATACCGAGAAAGTTACGGGAAGTTGTGCTGCGTCAATCCCATGATAGTTTAATAGGAGGACATCTCGTAGTTAAGAAGACATTGAGTCACCTACGACAGAGATTTTACTGGATACGTATGAGGCAAGATGTGGAAGAATGGTGCAGAACATGCAGTACATGTTGTGCTAAAAGGGGACCCAAGCATAAGGGACGTGCTCCAATGAAATTATATCAAGTTGGCGCACCAATGGAAAGAATAGCCGTCGACATTGCTGGTCCTTTGCCACAAACTCGTGCAGGAAACAGGTACATTTGTGTGGTGATGGATTATTTCACCAAGTGGCCTGAGGCATATGCAATTCTGTTACGCCTCTGGTCGTTTGTTAATTTCTCGTATAATTTCTTTGGGATGAAACTTTAGTGATACAAGTTCTTTCTTAAATAAAACTAGTTTATTCTTTCTCAATTCAACTTTGTAATACACCTAATTTCCACAGTCACTTTAAACACGCTATAATTCACAATGATTCATGCACTTACTTAAGGTCACTACCGCGCTTGACTCAATTGTCCATCTTTATCTCTGCCTGTCTGCAATTCAATTCCGATTAATTTGTCTCACGTTATCCGACGCACTTATATACAGGAATAGAGCGCGCATAGCACATACTGGATTATTCATGATGTTCCACAATCCTTCTAGAATATCATGACGTGTTACCAGGGTCACGTG